AAATAATGAAAATCAAATTAATCCGTGCAAGACACCCAGAAGTATGAAAAAAAAAATTTTACTACATGAAATATTAAGTTTAATGCAATAGAATAATTACAATAACAATAAAACAATTGACACTTACCTTTAATGAAGATCTGGTGATGATTGATGGGATGGAAGGAGGGGAGAGGTGTTAGTGTTTAGAAGGGGAATCCCCTTCCATTAGGACTTGAGGTAGCAAGTCCTTTTCCAGGGTTACTTCCCTTCTTCTTTTAATGCCACTAGGACCAGCTTGAGAGTCACTGGACCTCTGTCGCACAACAAATCTGTCCATAGAGCTCTGTACCTCCCGTTCCTTTACGATTTGTCTAAAATGGGCCACAACATTGTCATTGTAATAGCTGTGTTAGGGTGATTTTCATCCATAAAGGTTTGCACTTCAACCCACTGTGCACACATTTCCTTAATTTTTGAAGTAGGCACAATGTATTCCACAACTGGTATAGGCTTCTCAGGGTTAGCCCCAAACCCTTCAAAATCTTTCTTAATTTCCATACTAATTCTCACCCTTTTTACCACAGGGTTGGCACTAGAAGCTTTCTTGGGGCCCATGGTGACTTATTTTGCAGAAACAAGCACCAAACACAGTGATAATATGGATAATATGGAATGTACTGAATGTATCCTTAGATGCGCGCACACTGGCTGGCTTGTAAACACTGGCACACAAGGGGCAGTTCAGGCCACATGTGGACAGGTCTCGTACGAATCGTATCAAGTACCGGGTTTTCAATCGAATACTGAGGAAAATTTTTTGCGATATAATGCATCGAATACCGGATTTATCGAATATCGATGCCATCGAATACCGGGGGTCCACTGTACAGGGGATCCACCATGAGTGTCATAAGAGGCAACTAAAATACCAGGAGCAAGAGGTTAGCAACCCCTTTCTTTTGCATAAATTATTAAATGTAAAAAGAAGAAAACTTTGCTTCTTTTTTTGGGTCACCCTGCCTTAGTGGGAGAAGGCCGGTGTGATAAAAAAAAAAAATGAAATAAGGGACCGAGGGAAAGTAGTCAGATGCACACAGGCTGAGCGATGCACCGTTCGCACCGAGTTTTGTTTGATCCACGACAGTGTGTGTTATAAGAGTCACCAAAGTAAACACACTATATGTTTAATGGTATTGGCTTGATTGTAGATAACTCCAAGCAACTATAATCTTATCATTTTCTCAAAAGGGTAGCTTGGCTCTGTCCTACACTATGGAACACATAAATATTTAACATTTATATTAATTAAGCATATTGAATGCTCACATACGATGTACATCACAAAAATAAAAATGTATGGAAAGGTATTTTCTAAATTAGGCTAGATTTCAAAATTCTTTGTCTAAAGAACTGCTCTCTCTCCTAACCCAAACGTAAATATACATTTTATTTTTCCTGCCTTCAAATCTGGCACAATTGGATTGAGGTGCCTGGCCAGTACAGAATGAGTCTTAACACTGTGTGCACAGTATTAAAAAAATCTGGGACCACTTAGTACCTTGTGGGTGCACCAGTTCAATTGAGCACCAGTTAGAGCATATAGCATAGCAAACACCAGGGTTTCACTGATGTCATGTCGTATCAATATTCCCTTTTATGAGGAAAGTGATGTTGACCCAGAGTTTAGTGGCCTTGAGATGGATGTGGCCAGAAATGGTCAAGGATATCTCAAAAACTTTGATAATAACCCATGTGTAACATTTGTGCAACATCCTTTCGTTTCTGAAACCAGTGGTAGTGTCATCTTGCCAGAATGTCCTATCACCTACGCTCTAAGTAAAGAGAAGATTCAGGAACAGGTGTTATGTATTCGGCAGGCTGAACGGCTGACTGGCTGGCTGGCTGACTTTGGATGCATGAAGTTCAATGATAAGAAATTTCATTTACTCCGATATGGAAAACGTGAGGAAATTAAAATTTCATTGGAGTATAAAACAAATTCCAACCACACAATAGAGCGAACAACTAATGTCAAAGACCTGGGGTTGATCATGTCAGAGGATCTCATTTTCAAACACCATAACATTGTATCAATCACATCTGCTAGAAAAATGACAGGATGGATAATGAGAACCTTCAAAACCAGAGATGCCAAGCCCATGATGACACTCTTCAGGTTGCTTGTTCTATCTAGGCTGGAATATTGCTGCACACTAACAGCATCTTTCACGGCAGGTGAAACTGCTGACCTAGAAAATGTACAGAGAACCTTCACAGCACACATAACTGCGATAAACCACCTCAATTACTGGGAACGCTCGAAGTTCCTAAACCTGTACTCCCCAGAATGCAGGAGGGAGAGATACATGATTACATACACCTGGAAAAATCCTAGAGGGACTAGTACCATACTTGCACATGAAATTACTCCCTACGAAAGCAAAAGACTTGGCAGACGGTGCAACATCCCCATATGAAAAGCAGGGGTGCCACTAGCACGATAAAAGACAACACAATAAGTGTCAGGGGCCCAAGACTGTTCAATTGCCTCCCAACATACCTCAGGGGGATTACCAATAGACCCCTGGCTGTCTTCAAGCAGGCACTGGACAGACACCTAAAGTCAGTACCTGACCAGCCAGGCTGTGGTTCGTATGTTGGATTATGTGCAGCTAGCAGTAACAGCCTGGTTGATGAGGCCCTGATTCACTATTAGGCCTGATTATCAACCGGGCCGTGGGGACGTTGACCCTTGGAACTCTCTCCAGGTATACTCGAGGTATATTTGTCTCTCTCTCTCTCTCAGGTACACATAAGTACAGTTATTATATATAGTGTAAATTACCTAGGATAACCCAAAAATTCCAGGCAAAGTGCTATACAGTGTTTGTAGATATAAAACATAATAAACGTGACTGGCAAGTAATACGCATTTTCACTTAATCAGGAATGAGACGTGACGACTTTGGATCTTGTGTAATATCTGTTGGTTTACAAGCCGCTCTCCGAGACAAAGACAAGCAGATGGAAAGACAGACACACACAGGCTGACAGAAAGACAGATAAGGAGAACTAGACAGACAGATATGTTTGTGTGTAACAGTTAAAACAAAGCCAGGGTTCTCTGGAGTAGTGCACGATCATCAGTGTCACTCCACTGCTGTAATGTCAGCAGTTTATTGACACTTGTCATAAACACAATGGTTCAAGGAGTTTTATATATACTCCAGCATGTCTGAAACATTTTTTGGGCCTATAAATACTTTGTATATATCACTATATAGTAAATGACCAAGGCAGGTAAAAATGTACACCTGTCGGTGTGACTGTGACTATCTGAGTACTATTTCAGTACCTAATATTTGTGTCAAAACAAAGACAGGCTATGAAATCACAAGAACTATTATAAATTGTAATTATCAGAACATAAAAATTATATAAATTAAAATAAAAACGAAAAAAGGTATATCGGCAGGACTTAATGTTGCCGTCAGGTGAGCATCCAGCACCAACTTCGCAGTCTTATATCTTGGTAAGTACTGATCCTCAATTTTTTTTTTTTTTTTTGGTCTTATAACACACAGAAAATTGCCTCTTTAATTTAAAATATTCAGAGTGCTGGCAGTGAAAATGTAGATCTATGTTTGGACAGTTTAACCCTTAAACGGTCCAAACAGATCAACGTTCAAATTCATAGTGCTACAAAAGTAGATCTACTTTTTTTTACATATTTTCAAATATAACAAAAAAAAAAATGTAGATAAAAGATTTTTTTTACACGTTTTCAAATAAAAAAAAAAAAAATCTACATTTTTTACATACTTTCAGATGTTGAAAAAACGTATATATACGTTTGGACCATTTAAGGGTTAAGGGTTAAGCCATGATAATGCAAGATATAAGATTTTAACCCTTTGACTGTTTTGGCCGTATGTGTACGTCTTACGAGCCACAGTTTTGACGTATATATACTCATAAATTCTAGCAGCTTCAAATCAAGCAGGAGAAAGCTGGTAGGCCCACATGTGGGTCTGTGTGGTCAGTGTGCACCATGTAAAAAAAAATCCTGCACCACGCAGTGCATAATGAGAAAGAAGAAACTCCGATCGTTTTTTTTAATTAAAATGCTGACTTTGCGGTCTATTTTTGTATAGTATTTATGGTTGTATTCTCGTTTTCTTGGTCTCATTTGACAGAATGGAAAACATATTGCAGAAATAGAGGTGATTTTGATTGATTTTACTATGAAAAGAACCTTGAAATGGAGCTCAAGGTAAGGGATATGTTTGATTTTTGCCGATGTTCAAAAGTAAACAAATGATGTCATTTTTCAATAAATGTCCAAGTAGCCATTCTAATATGCAGTCATGAATGGGTTGACATTATTTATACAATTATTACAATGTTGCAGTAGTCTGCATAACCGTAAATCTTGTATTTTTTGTTTGAATAAAAATTCAAAATAGAAAGCAAGAGTAATATCAAAGAGGCCTGGAGACATGACTGATGAACAAAGAAAATGTTATTTTATAGCCAGGAATGTCTGTATTGTTCATTCTGGACTCTATTTTGAAAATGTCATATTTTTTAATTTTCATGAAATTGGCCAAATTGCAAATTTCTGACCACGTTATTGGGTAGTTGAAATTGGTAAATGGGTAGTTTCTTGTACTCAATCGATAGAAAAAATGGAGTTCTAAAGAAATAGCTATGAGTTTGGTCAACTGGAACAATGAAATTAGCTGAAAATAGGGATCAAAGTGGGCAAAATCACTGATTCGTAAATACATGTACCGCCAAGGTCGCTAACTTTGCAAGAGCGTAATTCAGTCAGTTTTCCATAAAATTTCATTCTTTTCATGTTATTACAATTGGGAAAAGATTCTCTATCATTTCATAAGATTTTTTTTTTTTTTATTTGAAACTTTGCGACACCAGGAGACACCTCAGGATTTGGGGTTGCGATAGTCAAGGGGTTAAACCTTTATAATTTTAAAAGAAAACAAATATTTACTTACATCAAATACAAAAGGTCTAACAGTTTGTAGAGGCAGAGCTGTAACCTTAAACTGCTGCTGATGGTTCACCTCCAACAGTGCTACATTCTTGGTAACAGCTTCACCAGCACACAGAGATGTAACCACTGAGCTTCCTGAAATATAACACTGCACACATCTATCAGCTTGTTTTTTACCTTTGTGGGGTGTCTCCCAGCTAGGTTAGGTGCCAGAAGTGTACTGACATCACAATCAATTTACCCGTGGACTGCAACACCCTCGCCCATCATTCAGAGTGCAGACACTGCTTTTCCCGCTTCAGGGACTGAAGCCAAGATAACTGGTTTCCTTGAATCCCTTCATTAATGTTACCTTGCTCAAATTCTACCAGCACATCCATTACAAACTGTCAATGCAAGTGTCAAAGAATAATGTAACTATGGCACACACATTCAATACTAATGTCATTTTGGAAAAAAAAATGAAATTTACCCACACCAGCCATTACTCTCCAAAACTGCAACTTCCCCGCTCATCCATTAGAGTGCAGACACTGTACTTTCTACCTCCAGGATTTATATCAAATGGTAGAGCCACCTAATGATACTAATAATTATGCAAAACTTAACTTGCAAACCACAAAGTCATACCTGGCTGGATGACGTGGAAGGAATCTTCAGCGGAAAGTCGAGGTTCTATGAGGCATTCGTGTTCATGACCCCATATGACCAGATCAAGGAAGGGGTCGAGGAAACTCTCGGGTATGTAATTTGTGAGTCCGTGCTTGGTATGGTTTTGATGCAAGACCATGATATTGAACCAAGCGTCCATCGATTCTTTGGGACGGAGCATTTTGACCTGGAATATTATCATGATTATTCATCATCATCATCATCATCAAGTTTATTCTCTATAATATTGTGTGGTTTACATGTTTTAAAATACTAATTACAGAGAGGGCCACTAGAACAACTAGCATGGCTAGGCATTTCGGGCAGACTTAGATTAATTCTTAACTTTAAAATATTACAAATTATGAGGTAAGTTGGTATTATGGCTAAGTGACTAAATACTAGTTAGTTATTATTATTATTAGAAATGTGTTTCCTTATAACCCTTTTGTGTTGTGGAAAGGCATTTGAATTTAAGTAGAGAAAGAAGAAGTGAACATAGCCCAATTTTTACAATTATCAAAGGGAAATTTGCCTTTGTGATCTGTTTTGTACAGCTGTGAACCCATATTATACATTGGTATTAAAATGCTATAACTGATTCTATAGGTTATCTGTTCTATAGTGCTATATTTTGTTCCATAATGCTGTGATCTCTTCTGTAACACCTCTACAAAAGTGGCTTTTTCAATAAAATAACTCTTGCTGTACTGTACTTACAAATTCCCCCATTTGTGACATTTGTCACACTCATACTCCACATTTATACAATACTGGCTCTTTCAACCCTTTCACTGTCCAGATCCCTGATTTGAAACTTGTCCATACTCTCCAAGAATTTTCAAATAAAATTTTTCTTTTTTCTTATGAGATAATGGAGAATTTTTTCTGAAGGTAATAAAACAAAAAGTATGAAATTTGATGGAAACTAACGAAATTATACTTTCACGAGTTTTGCCGTGTCAGCGATATTTATGCATCAGAGATTTTGCCCACTTTGATTCCTATTTTAGGACTATTACAATGTTCCAGTCAATCAAATTCTTAGCTATTTCACTAGTATGTCTTCCATTTTATTGACTGAGCACAAGAAATCGCCCAATCAACTATTTCAACTACCCAATAAAGTGATCAGAAGTTGGTAATTTGGCCAATTTCACACAATTTTCAAAATATTCCAGTTTCAAAATAAACAATGCAGGGATTCCTGGCATTAAAATAACATTTCCTCTTTTCGTTAGTTATGATCTCAGGCTAAATACATAAATTCCATTTTGATTTTTTATTCACACAAAGAATAGGAGATTTACTGTTATGCAATATTATAAAAACTGTATAAATAATATCAGCACATTCATGAACACATATTAAACCCACAAGTTGGACGTGTATTGGATGAGGGACATGATCTGTTTACTCTTGAATATCGGCAAAAATCGAACATTTATGATGCTTAGTTTTCAATTTCAAGCTATTTTCAGTGCTGAAACCAATCAAAATCATCTCTATTTCTGTAATATATCTTCCATTCTGTCAAATGAGACCATGAAACCATGAATACAATCATAAAAAACATACAAAAATACACCGCAATGTCGCCGTTTTAAACCAAAAACACGGTCACAGTTTTGTTTCTTCTCATTATGCACTGCGTGCTGCAGGATATTTTTTTTATAAGTTGCACACTTACTGTACAGACCCATTCTCTCATAACTAGGCTCAAATTTACCGCACAGCTTATCTGAGTGAGCTGAGCTCGTGCCATAGTACTACATACAGTATTGCCAATAACCTCAAAGCCGTAGTAATACAGCACAGCCAGTGAATTGGTTAAGAACTTACCATATTTGACTTGAAGAGCCTAAAGAGCCTTTCATCTTTAATTGAGGAGAGGCCATAGATAGCTAGCTTAGTACGTCCTTTTTCCAACAGTATTGGAGAAATATTAATCTCCTTTAGATCTGTTGTTCGACCAAAATAATTTATCAGTCCTGCAACTGAAAGCATTTCCAGAGCACAGAACTGGCCAGGACCTGAAAAATGTATATCAATTACATCAATCTGATAACAGGGATACCATAAACTCTTAAGTCAGTATGAACTAAACCCATATGAAACAAGTGGTGATCCATGAAGAGGATCTCAGACAAAAAAAATACTTTTTTTTTTCTCAACAAGTTGGCCATCTCCCACCAAGGCAGGGAGACCCAAAAAGAAAGAAAATCCCCAAAACAAGAACACTTTCATTATCACTGAACACTTTCACCACACTCATACATAATCACTGTTTTTGCAGAGGTGCCCAGAGACAACAGTTTAGAAGCATATATAAAGATACAATATAAAAAGTGATGTGAAATAATATAATAAACTCGCTATAGAATATAATATCAGGGCCCCATTACACATCCCTCGAAAACTGCCAATATCCCAAACCCCTCCTTTAAAGTGCAGGCATTGTACTTCCCATTGCCAGAACTCAAGTCTGGCTATATAAAAATAACAAGTTTCCCTGAATCCTTTCACTAAATATTACCCTGCTCACATTCCAACAGCTCGTCAGGTCCCAAAAACCATTCGTCTCCATTCACTCCTAACATGCTCATGCACGCTTGCTGGAAGTCCACGCCCCTCGCCCACAAAACCAAAAATATACAGTGGTCCCTTGATAATCGTAAGGCTCGATAGTAGTAATTTTTGATAATTGTAATGTTATTTTCATCAAAACATTGGCTCGCGAATCGTCGTTCATCTGGGACGCGTACACATGGATCCGAGCTGCCCCGCCCTCCTTTCCCAGCCAGTGTGCCATTGTTTACAAGTGAGTGATGGTCCCCTCACTCGTTCATATGAAATACAGTGGTCCCTCGCTTTTCGTAGTTCTCGGCAATCGTAAATTTCGCCAATCATAGGGGTATTTTCATATAAACATGGACTCGCTTTTCATAGGTTGACTCGCGAATAGTAGTTCATCCAGGACGCGTATGCATGGTGTGAGCCGGGGCGGCCTCCCTACCCAGCCAGTCTGGCATTGTTTACCAGTGAGTGAAGGTCCCCTCAAGTGCTCCTACGAAATATTTCATAATATTCCACTCATTAGTGCTTTTGTTGCAAGTGTTTTGTTGGTCTTCAACTTGTATATGTTATAAGCATTTAGCATAGAGATATCAACAAGATGGAAAAAAAGTTTTATATATCACTTATAACTCTTGCATACACAGTCTGCAAACCCAATCTGCATTTCACATTTGTCCACTAATTGCATATTGAGGTTGTAGTCCATGACAGCTGCAGGCTTTAGAATGGGTTCATTGGTCTCTCTGTTGTCCCTGCCATTCGGTACCATTTCGTTTGTGTGAACTGATGTCAACAATGTGACATCACGTTTGTCATGCCACCGAAATGCCATGATGTCATTGGCAACAAAGGCTTGCACCTCACCTCTGCGAGTGCCAGCGTTGAACCTTGGCATATGTTTACGATTACCACGCACTGTGCCACACACGTCTGTCAAGTTCACTCGCAAGAAATCACTGAGTAAGGGGCTTGTGTACCAGTTATCAGTAAATAACATATGCCCCTTACCAAGATATGGTTCCATCATTGTTCTAACCACATCACCAGAGATACCCAATAACTTCATGGTATCTCTCAAAGTATTACTGCCAGTGTACACAATGATATCCAAAACTAGACCACTTCTGCAATCACACAGTACAAATACAGTGGACCCCCGCATACCGTACGCATCGCATACCGTTCAATCCGCATACCGCTCGCTTTTATCGCAAAAATTTTGCCTCGCATACCGCCCAAAAACCCGCTCACCGCTCTTCGTCCAAGACGCGTCCAATGTGCGCCCTTAGCCAGCCTCACATGTGCCGCCGGTGGCATTGTTTACCAGCCAGCCTCCGCGGTAACATCCAAGCATACAATCGGAACATTTCGTATTATTACAGTGTTTTTGGTGATTTTTTCTGGAAAATAAGTGACCATGGGCCCCAAGAAAGCTTCTAGTGCCAACCCTACAGCAATAAGGGTGAGAATTACTATAGAGATGAAGAAAAAGATCATTGATAAGTATGAAAGTGGAGTGCGTGTCTCCGAGCTGGCCAGGTTGTATAATAAACCCCAATCAACCATCGCTACTTTTGGGTGCTACAGCTGCTGCTGCTGTTGTACCACTGTCAGCTGCTGCTGCTGCTGCTGTAGTACCATCTGCTGCTGCTGTAGCATCATCTGCTGCTGCTGTAGCATCGTCTGCTGCTGCTGTAGCACTTGTCAGCTGCTGCTGCTGTTGTACCACCGTCAGCTGCTGCTGCTGCTGTAGTACCGTCTGCTGCTGCTGTAGCATCGTCTGCTGCTGCTGTTAGCATCGTCTGCTGCTGCTGTAGCATCGTCTGCTGCTGCTGTAGCATTGTCTGCTGCTGCTGTAGCACTGTCAGCTGCTGCTGCTGCTGCTGTAGCACCGTTGTTGGTGTGGCTTATTGAGAATACCAAGAAACAATTAACCCCAGAGGATTTGCCACCCAGGAAAACCCAAAAAAGTCAGTGTCATCGAAGACTGTCTAACTTATTTCCATTGGGGTCCCTTAATCTGTCTCCCAGGATGCAACCCACACCAGTCGACTAACACCCAGGTGAATAGGAAAAAATGCCTGGAACTAGTGCTCATATTGGTGAATTTAAAGCCAGCAAAGGTTGGTTTGAGAGATTTAAGAATCGTAGTGGCATACACAGTGTGATAAGGCCTGTTCTGGAAGAAAATGCCAAACAGGACCTACAGTACTCAGGAGGAAAAGGCACTCCCAGGACACAGTGTCTCATCAGTCATTGCTGCATCTTCAATAAAGGTAAGTGTCATTTATTCTTCATTTAGTAGAGTAGTACATGCACAATATATATTGTGCATGTACTACTCTACTATTGTGCATGTATCCTTCTCTTTGTGTGTAGGAAAATAAATATTTCATGTGGTAAAATTTTTTTTTTCATACTTTTGGGTGTCTTGCATGGATTAATTTGATTTCCATTATTTCTTATGGGGAAAATTCATTCGCATACCAATCATTTCGCATAACAATCAGCCCTCTTGCACAGATTAAAGTCGCTATGCGGGGGTCCACTGTAGCTTTATACCAAAGCGTTTCCTCTTGCTTGGTATATATTGCTTGAATGAGAGTCTTCCTTTGAATAAAATCAAGGACTCATCAATAACAAGCTTCCTGAAGGGATAAAAATACATGCAGCACTTTTGTTTCAGGTACATAAACACATTTCTGATCTTATATAACCTGTTGCTTCTGTCAGGCCTGGTTTTGTCTGAAAAGTGTAACATACGTAACAGTATCAGGAAACGATTGACACCTATAATGTCACTAAAACCTGGAGTTGAAATCAGGCGTTCTGTTGCCCAGTATGTGGTGACAGTGTGCTTATACACATGTGGCATAAGCATTATTGTGGCAAAAAACAGGTACATCTCTGCCATAGTTGTCTCCTTCCACTTGTATAGCCGTGATTTTGGCGAGAGAATTGTATTTGCCATGGTGTAATCACAGTATGTGTTTGTTTCCCTGACAATGATGTCCATCAGGGGTTCATCGAAGAATAACTCAAAGCAGTCCAGTTCACTGGCATTGTTCCCAATTTCACAAGATGGCTTTATTCCACTTTGTGTTTCATCAAAGTCATGGGGACTGTGAACAAACTCGTCACCGTCCTGCCAATCCCAGATGCGGTCTGCTGGTGGGGTCTGGATATTGTACTGTGGTTGTGGTTGTGCAGGTTGTGGGAGTGTGGGGTAGGGTGAGGCTGGTTGTTATGCTGCGTCAGCAGCGTGGGTAGTAGCGTGGCCCGCTGATGGTGCCACATGGGCAGTGCCACCCTCACTATCACCACCACTGCCTCCTCCCTCACTGTCACCATTCATACCCATCGTTACAATATCGTCATCTTCACTATCAGTCGTGGTGTAGGGCCACGGGATGTGCTCCCAGAGTTTCTCCTTCCCCTTGGAACAACATATGAAACACTACCAGACCGCATGCTACGTCGTACATACTGCTGCTTCAGTGGGGAATATTCACTCTCACTGTCACTAGAACTGCTTTCAATGACCTTGAAATCACTATCACTATCACTGCTATCATCTGGGTGTTGTACACGACCAAATAGTTTCCTCTTTCGTCCTGGTACAGGCGAACGTGAACGTGAACAAGCCGGCACAGCACCAGAGGTGGAAGGTTGTGGGTCATCTGGGTTTTCATCACTAATTACGTTATCCTGGGCACTTTTTCCGGTAACACTCACTTCAAAACCCTGGAATTCACTGTCACTGACATTTTCATCGCTGTTAGAGCTATCACTTGGGAACAAAAGACCTCCAATCCGCCGAGGAGTGAGGAACTTCTTACCGAGAGGCATGGTGAAAATGGACTAACAACATGGCGTTCCCACAATGCACCGCTGGGTCCCAGATTTTTTTCACAGGGTGTACACCGACCACTGAGACCCATTCTCTCTCGTGTAGGCCTACCAGGCCTTTGGCGCTTGATTTGAAGCCGCTAGAATTTGTGCGTATAAATACGTCAGAAACATTGGCTCATAAGACATATTTATACGTCAGAAACAGTCAAAGGGTTAATATATTTATAGATGGGGTCGTAAAAGAAGTAAATGCTAGGGTGTTCGGGAGAGGGGTGGGATTAAATTATGGGAAATCAAATACAATTGGGAATTGACACAGTTACTTTTTGCTGATGATACTGTGCATATGGGAGATTCTAAAGAAAAATTGCAAAGGTTAGTGGATGAGTTTGGGAGTGTGTGTAAAGGTAGAAAGTTGAAAGTGAACATAGAAAAGAGTAAGGTGATGAGGGTATCAAATGATTTAGATAAAGAAAAATTGGATATCAAATTGGGGAGGAGGAGTATGGAAGAAGTGAATGTTTTCAGATACTTGGGAGTTGACGTGTCGGCGGATGGATTTATGAAGGATGAGGTTAATCATAGAATTGATGAAGGAAAAAAGGCGAGTGGTGCGTTGAGGTATATGCGGAGACAAAAAAAACGTTATCTATGGAGGCAAAGAAGGGAATGTATGAAAGTATAGTAGTACCAACACTCTTATATGGGTGTGAAGCTTGGGTTGTGAATGCAGCAGCGAGGAGGCGGTTGGAGGCAGTGGAGATGTCCTGTCTAAGGGCAATGTGTGGTGTAAATATTATGCAGAAAATTTGGAGTGTGGAAATTAGGAGAAGGTGTGGAGTTAATAAAAGTATTAGTCAGAGGGCTGAAGAGGGGTTGTTGAGGTGGTTTGGTCATTTAGAGAGAATGGATCAAAGTAGAATGACATGGAGAGCATTTAAATCTGTAGGAGAAAGAAGGCGGGGTAGGGGTCGTCCTCGAAAAGGTTGGAAGGAAGGGGTAAGGGAGGTTTTGTGGGCGAGGGGCTTGGACTTAGAGCAGGCGTGCATGAGCATGTTCAATAGGAGTGAATGGAGACGAATGGTATTTGGGACCTGACGATCTGTTGGAGTGTGAGCAGGGTAATATTTAGTGAAGAGATTCAGGGAAACCAGTTATTTTTATATAGCTGGACTTGAGTCCTGGAAATGGGAAGTACAATGCCTGCACTCTAAAGGAAGGGTTCGGGATATTGGCAGTTTGGAGGGATATGTTGTGTATCTTTATACATATATGCTTTTAAACTGTTGTGTTCTGAGCACCTCTGCAAGAACAGTGATTATGTGTGAGTGAGGTGAAAGTGTTGAATGATGATGAAAGTATTTTCTTTTTGGGGATTTTCTTTCTTTTTGGGTCACCCTGCCTCGGTGGGAGACAGCCGACTTGTTGAAAAAAAAAAAAAAATTAAGAGGTTATCTACTGTGTTATGAAAGCAGCAAGGCCCTGGTTAATTCTCTAAACCACTAACTACAGAAGTTTGTAGTGTTGTAAGATTACAATGATAAAATTACTGAAAATTGGTACAGGAGGGTCCGGTTTACAGTGCTTTGCTAACAGAGCGGTTTTCAATTACACCCATTCCTCATTTACTCAAAGTAATGTTTGTACTGCATATGATTTTTTTATGTCTGGCTCTACTGCTTACTTAATATTCTTTCTTTCAACACACCGGCCGTATCCCACCGAGGCAGGGTGGCCCAAAAGGAAAAACGAAAGTTTCTCCTTTTACATCCAGTAATATATACAGGAGAAGGGGTTACTAGCCCTTGCCCCTGGCATTTTAGTCGCCTCCCACAACACGCATGGCTTACGGAGGAAGAATTCTGTTCCACTTCCCCATGGAGATAAGAGGAAATAAACAAGAACAAGAACTAGAAAGAAAATGGCAGAAAACACAGAAGGGTGTGTATATATTTGCTTGTACATGTGTGTATAATGTGACCTAAGTGTAAGTAGAAGTAGCAAGACGTACCTGTAATCTTGCATATTTATGAGACAGACAAAAGACACCAGCAATCCTACCATCATGTAGAACAATTACAGGCTTTCGTTTCACACTCACTTGGCAGGACGGTAGTACCCCCCTGGATGGTTGCTGTCTACCAACCTACTACCTAATTAATTACTTAATATATGATAGTATAAACATGTTATCAGGCTTTTATGTGCATTTGATAGTGAAAAAAGGATATGTTTCACTTTAGTGATTTTTGCTTTACAGCAGTAGCCCAGAACCTAACAAGTTGTATAAGCAAAGCCCACCTGTATGTAAAAAACTGGTTAATAGCAACCACTCTGGGTATTCCTAATCATTATTTTTATTACTGAGCCAATGGCCACAAATCTCACCTGATGGATCGTCGTGGTTCCCGTGGATCGAGAAGATGGGGATGGCAACATTAAGGTTAGGGTCCAGATAATTAACAACTGGGTTCTTGGAATGCTTAAAGTTTTCCACTGGATCACTTATAAAATCAAACAGAACAGGACTGAAAAAAATAACAGGATTAAGTAATATTTATTCTTTCTCAAACTATGGAGAAGAAACTAGTCCAGAGAAAAAAATGTTAGTTCCAGTCTATAACAGTAGGATTATTAAGTCGTAATCTACATCTAAAGAAATAATGTGATTGGGTTTAGTAGACTTCATAGTTTTCATAGTCACTGTAGGTCATTTGTCACTTCATATGGAAGGTTTATCTCATAAAAGGGACTTAAGTTTAATGATATTTCACAAGGACAATGTCCTCAAGAATAACAAGAGTAAAGGTACACAGTAAGGGTTTATTTAGTGTCAGCCAGAGTTGTACCACTGAGATACAACTTGAGCAATGACTGAGCCTGTGCGCTGTATTCAATATTTTGTAAGGATTGTGGTAGAGTTTATATACAAGAGATATAACAATGTGTTTGCTAATAATATACACCAATAAATGGTTATTGCATTACTTGCAATGATGATAAATTAGACAAGAAACTGAAACTGTAAGACAAGGATACAGAGGTTAGGTTAGGTAAGATTCATCAGGAAACACGACAAGAAAAGGACACAAGTGCAACTAATGTGACATTTTTATTGTGGCAACGTTTCGCTCTCCAGGAGCTTTATCAAACCGTTACAAACAATACATAGACATAGAAATATATATAGGCTTAGAGTGAGGTGTAAGACACAATAAAATCATCACAGAAATACAGGTTGACCATCACTAATTCGGCATCATCGGTGCGGATTAGTGATTTTTCTGGATTACAGAGTGGTTAGCTTTGAATATATTTAACCCAATGGTGATATTTAAGCATTGGTGATTTCACCTACTTTACACCCTACTTTTGGCCCATTCCACTGTTCCTGTCTACCAAACTCATAGCTATTTCCCTAGTATTTCTTCTATTCTGTCGATTAAGTATGAGAAACCGCCCATTTGCCTATTTCAAATACCCAATAAAGTGGTCAGAAATCAGTAATTTGGCATATTTTACAAAAACTTCAAGAGATGCAATTTCAAAATAGGGTTCAGAATAAACAATGCAGACATTCCTGGCACTGAAATAACATTTTCTCTGTTCATTAGTCACATCTCTAGGCCCCTCTTATATTATGCTTGCTTTCCATTTTGAACTTTTATTCACACAAAAAATAGATTTACTGTTATGCAGACTACTGCATTATTGTAATAATTGTATAAATAATGTCAACTCATTCGTACTGCTTATCAGACCAGCCACTTGGACACACATTGGACGGTAACATCATTTGTTTACTCTTGAATATCGGCAAAATTCAAACATTTCCGCTACTTTCAGCTCAATTTCAAGGTACTTTCCATCATGGCACCAATCAAAATCATATCTAATTCTGTAGTATATCTTCCATTCTATCAAATGAGACCATAAAAACAAAAATACAACCATAAAAACCATACAAAATACACCGCAAATTCATTGTTTTACACCAAAAACATGGTTGCAGTTTTTCTCATTATGCACTGCATTCTGCAGGATTTTTTTTATATACAGTGCACACTCTTACTTATTCTTTTTAGTAATTATTACAGGAAAAGGGGTTACTAGCCCATTGTTCCCGGCATTTTAGATGACTGTTACAACACGCATGGCTTACGGATTCTTATTCCACTTCTCCATGGATACAAAAGAAAAAGTAATAGAATAAGAATTAAGATAAAATCAAAGAAAACTCATCTGAGTGTGTTTAATGAGTGGTTATTTAATATATTTATAGATGGGGTGTAAAAGGAGTAAATGCTAGGGTGTTCAGGAGAGAGGTGGGATTAAATTATGGGGAATCAAATACAAAATGGGAATTGACAGTTACTTTTTGCTGATGATACTGTGCTTATGGGAGATTCTAAAGAAAAATTGCAAAGGTTAGTGGACGAGTTTGGGAGTGTGTGTAAAGGTAGAAAGTTGAAAGTGAACATAGAAAAGAGAAAGGTGATGAGGGTATCAAATGATTTAGATAAAGAAAAATTGGATATCAAATTGGGGGGGGAGGAGTATGGAAGAAGTGAATGTTTTCAGATATCTGGGAGTTGATGTGTCAGCGGATGGATTTATGAAGGACGAAATTAATCATAGAATTGATGAAGGAAAAAAGGCGAGTGGTGCGTTGAGGTATATGTGGAGACAAAAAACGTTATCTATGGAGGCAAAGAAGGGAATGTATGAAAGTATAGTATAGTACCAACACTCTTATATGGGTGTGAAGCTTGGGTTGTAAATGCTGCAGCGAGGAGGCGTCCTGTCTAAGGGCAACGTGTGGTGTAAATATTATGCAGAAAATTCGTAGTGTGGAAATTAGGAGAAGGTGTGGAGTTAATAAAAGTATTAGTCAGAGGGCTGAAGAGGGGTTGTTGAGGTGGTTTGGTCATTTAGAGAGAATGGATAAAGGTAGAATGACATGGAGATCATATAATGTATATCTGTAGGGAAAGGAAGGTGGGGTAGGGGTCGTCCTCGAAAAGGTTGGAGGGAGGGGGTAAAGGAGGTTTTGTGGGCGAGGGGCTTGGACTTCCAGCAAGCGTGAGTGAGCATGTTAGGTAGGAGTGAATGGAGATGAATGGTATTTTGGACCTGACGAGCTGTTGGAGTGCGACCAGGGTAATATTTAGTGAAGGGATTCAGGGAAACCAGTTTTTTTTTTTTAATACTTCAGAGATGACATAACTGCCTTTATTTTGCATAACTGTGTTAGAAATAGTGAAATTAAGTTCTTTGATCACTAGTCAGGTGTCGTTGAATTTTATGAGGTGGTTGGCGAAATTCCAGTGTTGTATGCAGGCACTGTTTAAGTTGTACCTACATGCATTAATGTGTTTTGAGATTTCTTGTTTCACTTGTGTATAGTATTCTGTCGCAGCCTACACGGTATAGTGTAAACCCTGCATTGACTGGTTCATGGCGCTTCGATTTTGTCCTTGTTAGATCCCTTATGGAAATGCTGGATACGATGGTGACTCTAGTGTTAGTTTGTGCGGGTACTTTAGAAACATTCAATGCAACCAGGCTGTTGGAAAGGATTATAACTTTGTTAGGAGTGGTGCTGGAGCATGGAGAATCCATGATCTGAAGGGCTATTTTGTTGCAGAAGGAAAATGTAGATCAGCGAAGGTTTGGCGCATGCATGTCCACTCCTTGTTGAGAAATTCTTCAGAAAATTCGATGATGATGCCTCTTTTGGTCTTAGCATCTTGACTGGAATAGAAGTGTGCGAGATCATTTTTGTTTGTAGGTTTTCCGGTAAACCTGAAGTGCCCATTTACTTAACATATTGTGTGTAATTCTACCAACATTAATACAGGACAAAAATTTCCTGATGCGGGTTTTAGTCACGCGATGACCTACCACTGGAGCTTATGGTCATCTGACCGAGGCCTTCCACTGACTTACAGGTCTACCCCTTTAACCCTTAAACTGTCCAAACATAGATCTACGTTTTTTCAACATTTGAAAGTATGTAAAAAAATGCAGACTTCTTTTTTTTTTACATTTGAAAACATGTAAAAAAACTTATATCTACATTTTTTTTGTTATATTTGAAAATATATAAAAAAACATAGATCTACTTTTGGAGCACTACGCATGTGAACGTATATCTGTTTGGACAGTTAAAGGGTTAAAAATTAAGATTATTAATACAGCCTCTCCTCACTTAACAACGGAGTTCTGTTCCTAAGACCAAGTAGCTAAACGAATTTGTCACTAAGTGAAGAGCATACTACACTGGTGGTGGGTTTGTGTCAGTCGTCTTTAGATGTTTTTTAATGTCACCTTTGCACCATTTATAACATTTCTAGTATATTTTTAAATGCTTATACAGTAGTGTACTGTACACTGTAATAAACAGAATAGAGGAAATCAGCTCTAATATACATTACTTAGGTTTGCATACTGGTTGTAAGTCCGAGTAGTTGGTGAACGAGTACGTCGCTAAGTGAGGAGAGGCTGTGCAGAGAATTTCATTTACAGAACTAAAGTCAAAATTTTAATTGAAGGAATCTTTACATTGTCAAAACTACCAATTTCTGAAATTTTTTTTTAGCTTAACACATTACTGCTTCCCACAGATACACTGCTAGCTGGCACTACACATGCCTCACAATGTGTGCACATTCTGCTAGTTGTTTTGGAGAAAAATCAGTAACCTTAGGTCCTTATTCTGCTTCGTGTGTTTCTGGCTTGGGAATTCCTACACAACAATTTCCAATAATCTGGTTACTCTGTCTCTACATCTTCAATATTAAAGCTTGCAGAAACATAAAAATATACTGTGATAAAGAGGCATTCTCCAATATTGTACAAAAGTCAACAGGTGGGACAAGAAGAAAACAATGACAAAAAAATTACATATGCCTACTTAGGATATCTAAAAAAAAACTGATACATGTAGTAAGAAATTTTCTATCTAAAATATATTTTCAAAGCCACATTGTAATAACCAACCAACCTTCATCTCACTTCAAAACATAAAGCTTACTGTAATCCTACTATTTATTGCCAATATAAACCTCTATAATTCTCCATGGGAAAGAGGAGAAAAAACCTTCCAACGTAAGCCATGCTTGTTATAAGAACTAACTAAAATGCAGGGAGCAAGGGGAATAGTAACTCATTCTCTTGTATAAATTACTAAATTCAAAAAGAAGAAACACTTTTGTTTATTCTTTTTTGGGTCACCCTGCCTTGATGGGAGATGAACAGTGTGTTAATAAAAGCAGCTCTATAAGTTCTTTTTTTGCTCACCTGTCACCAAAAGTATACTTCCTGATGAGATCCATACACTGCACCATGCAGGGACGCGATGGCTTGTTTTCATGGAATAAGTCGCCTCCTAACAGAATCATGTCCACCTTGTGGTCAACAGCCATCGCCAAGATTTCCTCAAAAGTCTCAAAGGAGTCATTACCTGTAGTAACAACAATTTATTGTCATATATCTCATAAACATGAAGTAAAGTAGCACCACAATCATAAACAACAACTATGGAGTTACACATTTTTAATGCCTGGGTCAACACCATAGCCCAGATGAAGACCACGTCTACCTAAACTGACAACAAAATAAAATAAATAAAAATAAAGTATTTATTTCTAGTGATAATACTACATAAAAATTAACAGAATTTAGACTTGTATATCACTTGTTATAGTATTCAAACAATTATAATACAGCGGGCCCCCGAGTTTCGTGATTAATCTATTCCAGAGAGTCTGCTGAATGACGAAATTGCCGAATGGCAAAACCATTTCCCCCATAAGAAATAATGGAAATAAAATTAATCCGTTTCAGATGCCCAAAAATATTAAAAAAAAAAAAATTTCAAATTAAATAAAGATTTACATACAGAAAACAATGAGAAATCAAGTACATACATATATAAAATAATAATAATATTACACTTACCTTTACTGAAGACTTCCGGGTGGATGGACGATGGGAGGGGATAGGAGGAAGGTGTACACTATTGTTTGGAAGGGGAATCCCCTTCCATAAAGACTTGAGGTACCAAGTCCTTATCTGGCATTACTTCCTTTCTTTGTTTTTTTAACCCTTTGGGGGTTTCGGACGTACTAGTACGTCTTATGACCCAGGGTTTTTGATGTACTAGTATGCCTAAATTCTAGCGCCCTCAAATCTAGTGAAAGCTGGTAGGCCTACATATGTAAGAATGGGTCTATGTGGTCAGTGTGCGCAGTATAAAAAAAATCCTGCAGCACACAGTGCGTAATGAGAAAAAAAAAACTCTGACCGTGTTTTTGGATTAAAACAGCGACTTTGCACTGTATTTTTGTATCGTATTTATTGTTGTATTCTAGTTTTCTTGGTCTCATTTTATAGAATGGAAGACATATTACAGAAATTAAGATGATTTTGACTGGTTTTACAATGAAAAGTACCTTGAAATTGAGCTCAAAGTAGCAGAAATGTTTGATTTTTACCAAAATTCAAAAGTAAACAAATCATGCCAAGCGTCCAATACACATCAACTGGTGAGTCTAACATTCTTTCACAAGTGTGCTGATATTATTTATACTATTTCTACACTAGTGCAGTAGTCTGCATAACAGTAAATCTTATTTTTTTTTGCAAGAATAAAAATTTAAAGTGGAAAGCCAAAGAAATATAAGAGGGGCCTGGGGATGTGACTAACAAACAGGGAATTTGTTATTTTAGTTCCAGGAACCTCTTTCTTGTTTATTCTGGACCCTATTTGGAAATTGACATCTTTTGAAATTTGTGTGAAATTGGCAAAAGTGCTAAATTCTGATCACTTTATTGGATAGTTGAAATCGCTAAATGGGTGGTTTCTTGTACTCATTTGATAGAAAAAAAGGAGTTCTAGCGAAATAGTTATGATTTTTGTAGACTAGTACACTGGAATTGGCCGATAATAGGGCTCAATGTGGGCAAAATCACCGATGCATAAACATCGTAGAGACCGCTAACTTCGCGAGAGCATAATTCCGTAAGTTTTCCATCAAATTTCATACTTTTGGTGTCATCATGATCGGGAAAAGATTCTCTATTTTTTTCATAAGAATTTTTTTTTTTTTTTTTAAATTTGGCCGACCCCGAGAACAAGTCTCTGAGAGGACCTGTCGACCCCCAATGGGCTAATGACACTGGGAACAACTTGAGCCACTGGACCCCTGTCGCACAAAATATCTGTCCACAGAGCTCTGTTTCTGGCATTACTTTAAAATTTTTCTGAAGTGGGACACAACACTGTCATTGTACATGTTGCCAACATGGCCTGCAACAGCTTTGTCAGGGTGAAGTTCATCCATAAATAATTACACTTCAGTCCACTTTGCACAAATGTCCTTAATCTCTGAAGAAGGCACCTTCCTCCATCTCTCTCCCTCTTCCTCCTCTGCAGCAATTTCCTGAGTTGTCGTCTCTTGCTGTTGCAGATGAAGCTCTTGCAGCTCTGCAGTAGTTAGCTCTTCATCATGGTCCTCCACCAACTCTTCTACATCCTTGAAACTCGCATCCAACCCCATGGAATTCCCCAGTGACACAATACTTTCCACAACTGGCATAGGCTCCTTAGGGTCAGCTCCAAACCCTTCAGAATCCTTCTTGTACACATTGTGGCCACAATTTTCTCCAAGAAGAGTTCAAAGTTCTGCAAGTCACTCCCTCCCAAGCCTTACCTATAAGGTTTATGCAAGTGAGGATATTGAAGTGATCTTTCCAGAAAACTCTTAGTCAATTCAGTGTCTGAGATCACTTCAAAGCACTTTTGAAACTCTGCTTTGGTGTACAGTTTTTTTAAGTCTGAAATGACCTGCTGGTCCAGGGGCTGGAGGAGAGTTGTATTAGGGGGCAAGAACTTCACCATGATGAAACTAAACTCTTCCACCATTTGCTCTGCCAAGTCTGGAGGATGAGCAGGAGCACTGTCCATTACCAGGAAGCACTTGAGTGACAATTTATTTTCCAGGAGGTATTTCTTCACACTGGGGCCAAACACTTCATTAAACCAATCAAGGAAAAATTCCCTTGTGACCCATGCCTTACTGTTAGCCTTCCACACATACAAATTACTCTTTGCAACACTGTTTTTCTTGAACACTCCGGGATTTTTAGTGATACAATCCCCACTAGCATTACTACAAAACATGAGAGTTAGCCTGTCTTTCATAGGCTTGTGTCCTGAGAGTGCCATTTCCTCCTGCGTGATGTGGGTCCTCTTTGGCATTTTCTTCCAAAAGAGGCCTGTTTCGTCACAAATCAACACTTGTTGGGGTTGGAATTCTTCAGTGTCTACGTACCCCTTAAACTCCTGTACAAACATCTCAGCCACTTATTTGTCAGAACTGGCAGCCTCGCCATGCCTTACCACACTGTGTATGCCACTATGCTTCTTAAATCTCTCAAACCAACCTTTGCTGGCCTTAAAAATCACAAGCATCACCACTTGTTGCAGGAATTTTCTTTACAAGATCATCATGTAACTACCTTGCCTTTTCACATATTATCGACTGCATAATACTATCTCCTGCTAACTGTTTTTGGGTAATCCACACCAACAATGACCTTTCCACTTCTTAGAGGGTTTGCGACAACAGCACACTTTTTTTTCTTTTCCTTCGCCACGATCGAAGTGATGGTTGAATGTAACATGCACTCCACTCTCGTATTTTTCAATGATTTCTTTCTTGAATTCAACCATGTTCCTCACTTTCTTTACCAAAAAGGCTGGCACTAGCTTTCCTTGGGCCCATGGTGACTTATTTAGCAGTTCCAAGCACAAAAAACAATGGAGTATTATAAAATGTATTATATGAACCAGTGGGCTGATGGTCATGCGCTGGTAAACAATAGCACACCGAGTGTGAATGGTGTGGGAGACTGGCTTTGTGTGCGTGCTGACGGGTGGACGTGTACCAGACAGTCACCGAATCACAAGTCCAATCACGAACCGCGAAGCTAAATTTTGGCAAAAAAAAAAAAAAAACACTTGCCGAAAGTCACAGCCGCCGAATGGTGGGGGTCAACTGTAGATAAAATTGGACAAACTTCATGTTAAATATACAGTCACTTATTATGCAAAGCGTTTTGGACAAGCTATCCTACTACTACATTCTAGTCTGGGCATATAATTTTAGACTTTGTGCATCAGTACAACATAAGTAAATTCATGTCAGTCAGAACTGTGGTGAGACAGGTTAAAATGATCAAGTTGAAACAATAACTAATAATTTACATGGATTTGAATCAGATTTATGATGTGCATTTTACAAAGTGGTTGAATTAAATTGCTGACTGAGTATTTTCAATCAATTATGTACAAGTACTATATATAACATTTATGTAAGATTTAACAGGTGCTTTTAACAATACAGTAGGGCCCTGCTTTACAGTGATACGCTAATACAGACATTTCAAATTATGACCAAAGCTCACTATACAGCTCCCCTCACTTGACACACTAATACGGTCACTGCGTGCCACCCGGTTTGTTTACATTCTCGGTAAGCACATCTCTCCATTGTCTGGAAACTTTCCAAAATTTCAAGTGTCTTAAAATTATTGCATATTTTATATGTATGTACTCTGATAATTATACTTATGTGTACCATTACCTAAATAAACTTAAACACTGTGCTGGATTGCAGGTATGCATTAAAATCACTAAGAGTGTCCCTCTAGTCTTGATGCCATAGTAATAATACTCTTGGGCACATTAAATTTCTTATTTTACAATAATATAGACATTTTCATTAATCCATCTATGATAATTTCTTCAAAATTATATGAGAAACACACAGCATATAAACTTCTCTGGTCCAGCACCAAAGAAAATGTGTATCAATCCACCTTTGACACAGTGACTCCCCTTGACACATTCAGCTTTGTTTGCAATTCTCAGCATGACTTCTTCTCATTACTTCTCCTTTCGTTTATGATGGCCTCTAAAGGTACTTGTTAGAAATTATTAAACTCAACGAGCAAGGTACTATGTCGATAATAATATCACCCTGGGCTGCTTTAAATATTATGTTTGGGAGTGGGAGCAAGGACTACTTACACCTATTGGCTACCTACAACTGACTTCCTACAAATAAATACTACTCATTCTCACCCTACATTAAGACTACAAATATTTTAAGGCAAGTAATGAATGTACTGTGTTTGTACTTCACTTTTTATTGATTTTTAATGTCTTGTTCTACTGTTAGCTTAATATACATTACTGTAAACTTATCTGGCATTTGTATGTATTTTTAAGTGGAAAAAATGGCGTTCTGCTTCCCGGTAATGCTCGCTTTCCGGCAATAGCCTGGAACCTAACCTGCCATATAAATGGGGCCCTACTGTATACTAATTAAATCTGATGGCAGATAGAAAACTTCTGGTATTTTCAGGCAGCATATTCTGTCAATTTTATTGGTTCAGAATACAACCTCTAAGTACCAAAGGGATTTGTTCCAAATAAGCTAAATATGTTTCCCACATCAAATCTCTTTTTTATGTCAATATAACCAAATTAGAGCAATATTTAAATTGATACATACATGCAGATTTGGAATTTGTGAAGTATCAAGTAAATTGCTTGAACTTAGTCATCTCTTGCCTGAATAAGTTAGTTGTTTCCAAGAAACATAATGGTAAATTACCCCCTTAATTTTGCCTCACATTATTAAAATGTAGAGTGTATATACATAAATAAAAAACTTTATTCAAATGTGAAAAAGTTTTAAAGAATTTGTATACCTGTAGTTGCAAATACTATAAATATGGCAATATATTTGCAATATGTTCAACAGAAATGAGGAAAATATACAATACTTTATATCCATGCCCTCACTCTCCAATGAAACAACAGATTTCATAAGGATTGATGATGACACAAACAACCTTTGTAAAGTTCAGCCTAGACAATATGTTGTGATAAAGTTTCTCTGCCTACATAAGTGTCTTTGTACCATGATTTCGTAAGTTATAGTTCACAATAAGATTAATTTTTTATGATCATATGTGAATTAATTTCTATTAATAAAATACATTTCACTTACAATAATTTCCAAAATCAAGTTGAATGATCTCTTACGATGCCATAATAAAGACTGCTAATCATACAAGATATACAAGTTATAACTCAACTCATCATTAACTAGGACTTGATGCGCTGACAAGTTTTTAATTGACACAAAGAAAAAGAAAACATCTCTAACACTCACATCGCTCAGGATCTTTTTCAAAACAGCCAAGGTGGTTGTCAGTGGCTACAAGAATTCGAAATGTATCATCTACTGTGGTGCCCATCTTGCTCAAACACGCTGATCTGCCACTAAACCTGAAACATATTTCAACTTCTTAATTCTACATATCCTGAAAGCAGGTAAATATTTTATATCTCCAAGCTGTCTTTGTAAAGATTAATCTTGGTTTACCTAGGTTAGTTATACTGTGGGTAAATAATAATGGTAATATACCTGGACACTAACTGAAGATGGTTCTCGAGGTATTTTCCATACCCCAGTCTCAGACCACGCCTTCTGGTTAATGGTCTGGCCAGTCAGGCTGTTGGCAATTATCCAATAAAGTCAGGATATTAAGGACAGTCTATTTTACTTCTACTGGGGTCCTTTAATTCTGTCCTCAACGATGCAACCTACACCAGTCACCTAACAGGGACAACAGGTGTAAGGAAACATACTCAATGTTTATACTTGTGGTAGAGATCAAATCCTGGTCCTACAGTGTGAGCTGAGGCAGCTACCAACTGAGCCATGAGACACAAGTGTTGTACTGCTACTATTTACTATGGGGTTTTGGGTTCGTTTGAGTGGTAGACGTAGATATACCACATCTGCTTTTGGTCTACGTTTTATTGATAGCTTGCTCCACTACATGCCCGTATGTATGCTCATGCTGCCAGCTACATTTCAACTGAGGACATCCTGTGGGCACTCTAGAAGCAAGCCATGAGGGATATTTGAATTGGGGGCCAGCAACTGTGACCCCAACATTCCGTAGCCATGAATGTGGTGTAACGGTTAAACATAACTACATGACACAGAAATCTGTTAGCTGGCTGGTGTGGGTTGCTTCCTGGGGTAAGAGGATTAACAGACCCCAATGGAAATAAGCCAGAGGCTGCCAAATAGTCTGAAGACATTGTATTATTGGGTTATTCCCAGATACTAACCCTCCAGGTTAATAAACTGAACTAAATCTTCCTCTTCAAGAAAATGGAAGCTATATTATGATCTACACTCTAACAGCTTTAACTACTTGGTGGAACTCTGAAATTAGTTTAACACATACTGTACAACCTTTGTACAGTGCAAACTTTTATTTAGGACGATATTAACAAAGATAAGACAGGTTATGTTAAGGTTAGGTTAAGGTACATTAGGTTAAGATATGCTTGGTTAGATTAAGGCATGGTAGGTTAGGTTATTGTACTTGGTTAGATCACATAACCTGAATACACCATCGAATCTTTTATTACATTGGGCCAGGGATAAGAGACACTTCACTGTGCTACAAGACCCAAATAAATGCAGCCATTCATTTTCCTTTTACCTCTCAGATCAGTTCACCTTCAGATCAATGCATTAGCCTTGATCACCTCAGATCAGCTTCTCAGCCTTGATCACCTCAGATCAGCTTCTCAGCTTTGATCCCCTCAGATCAGCTTCTCAGCCTTGATCACCTCAGATCAGCTTCTCAGCTTTGATCCCCTCAGATCAGCTTCTCAGCCTTGATCACCTCAGATCAGCTTCTCAGCCTTGATCACCTCAGATCAGCTTCTCAGCCTTGATCACCTCAGATCAGCTTCTCAGCCTTGATCACCTCAGATCAGCTTCTCAGCCTTGATCACCTCAGATCAGCTTCTCAGCCTTGATCACCTCAGATCAGCTTCTCAGCCTTGATCACCTCAGATCAGCTTCTCAGCCTTGATCACCTCAGATCAGCTTCTCAGCCTTGATCACCTCAGATCAGCTTCTCAGCCTTGATCACCTCAGATCAGCTTCTCAGCCTTGATCACCTCAGATCAGCTTCTCAGCCTTGATCACCTCAGATCAGCCCCTCAGCCTTGATCACCTCAGATCAGCCCCTCAGCCTTGATCACCTCAGATCAGCCCCTCAGCCTTGATCACCTCAGATCAGCCCCTCAGCCTTGATCACCTCAGATCAGCCCCTCAGCCTTGATCACCTCAGATCAGCCCCTCAGCCTTGATCACCTCAGATCAGCCCCCTCAGCCATGATCACTTCAATTCAGTCCTTAAGCCATGATCACCTCAGATCAGTTGCTTATCCACAATTACCTCGGATCAGTTCCACAGCCTTGATCACCTCAGATGAGTCCTTCAGCCTTGATCACCTCAGATGAGTCCTTCAGCCTTGATCACCTCAGGTGAGTCCTTCAGCCTTGATCACCTCAGGTGAGTCCTTCAGCCTTGATCACCTCAGGTGAGTCCTTCAGCCTTGATTACCTCAGATGAGTCCTTCAGCCTTGATCACCTCAGATGAGTCCTTCAGCCTTGATCACCTCAGGTGAGTCCTTCAGCCTTGATCACCTCAGGTGAGTCCAACAGCCACGATAAAATAAGATTTTCGGATTATTAACCCTGGGGCGTTAGCCACCCAGGATAACCCAAGAAAGTTGGTGCATCATCAAGGACTGCGTCTTATTTCCACTGTGGTCCTTTAATCTTGTCCCCCAGGATGCCACCCAACCAGTCGACTAACACCCAGGTACCTACTTACTGCTAGGTGAACAGTGATAGCAGGTGTAAGGTGACTAATACCCAGGTACCTACTTACTGCTGGGTGAACAGTGAAAGCAGGTGTAAGGTAACTAATAACTAGGTACCTACTTACTGCTAGGTGAACAGGAATAGGTGTAAGGAAACAGTTTCCACCTGTGCCGGGGATTGAACCACGGACACTGAGGCTAGCGCGTTGCCAACCAGGCCACGGGACACAGTGCTCACCTCAAGCTACTTCATGTCTTCCACAGCCTCCAGAATTACTCTCACTACTGGAGTAATAAAATCAATGGTTGACGAAACATCTCCACAACAAAGATAACCAAGTGTTCCACGTGTGTCATAACATTTTACTTTTGTAAACCATTAACATATAACATGTAAGATGGAAGGTAAATCATACAAACCTTCACTGTAAACTGAACTCGGGCCCTCGGAAGATAATCTCCAGAACCGATAACAAATAACTTTTTTATTTGTTCCGCTTTTTATTTCTGTTGGCGCGTTTTTGTTGTTGTTGTTGGGGTTGTAAGGGCCAGTGACGGCTTACGAAGTATCGAGTCCGGCTTCCCGATGTCAGTAATAATATTTTTATTATATTATTATCACACTGGCCGATTCCCACCAAGGCAGGGTGGCCCGAAAAAGAAAAACTTTCACCATCATTCACTCCATCACTGTCTTGCCAGAAGGGTGCTTTACACTACAGTTTTTAAACTGCAACATTAACACCCCTCCTTCAGAGTGCAGGCACTGTACTTCCCATCTCCAGGACTCAAGTCCGGCCTGCCGGTTTCCCTGAATCCCTTCATAAATGTTACTTTGCTCACACTCCAACAGCACGTCAAGTATTAAAAACCATTTGTCTCCATTCACTCCTATCAAACACGCTCACGCATGCCTGCTGGAAGTCCAAGCCCCTCGCACACAAAACCTCCTTTACCCCCTCCCTCCAACCCTTCCTAGGCCGACCCCTACCCCGCCTTCCTTCCACTACAGACTGATACACTCTTGAAGTTATTCTGTTTCGCTCCATTCTCTCTACATGTCCGAACCACCTCAACAACCCTTCCTCAGCCCTCTGGACAACAGTTTTGGTAATCCCGCACCTCCTCCTAACTTCCAAACTACGAATTCTCTGCATTATATTCACACCACACATTGCCCTCAGACATGACATCTCCACTGCCTCCAGCCTTCTCCTCGCTGCAACATTCATCACCCATGCTTCACACCCATATAAGACGTTGGTAAAACTATACTCTCATACATTCCCCTCTTTGCCTCCAAGGACAAAGTTTCTCTGTCTCCACAGACTCCTAAGTGCACCACTCACTCTTTTTCCCTCATCAATTCTATGATTCACCTCATCTTTCATAGACCCATCCGCTGACACGTCCACTCCCAAATATCTGAATACGTTCACCTCCTCCATACTCTCTCCCTCCAATCTGATATTCAATCTTTCATCACCTAATCTTTTTGTTATCCTCATAACCTTACTCTTTCCTGTATTCACCTTTAATTTTCTTCTTTTGCACACCCTACCAAATTCATCCACCAATCTCTGCAGCTTCTCTTCAGAATCTCCCAAGAGCACAGTGTCATCAGCAAAGAGCAGCTGTGACAACTCCCACCCTGTGTGTGATTCTTTATCTTTTAACTCCACGCCTCTTGCCAAGACCCTCGCATTTACTTCTCTTACAACCCCATCTATAAATATATTAAATATATTAATAATATCTTTATTTGTACATGTACAAGGTATACAGGCTTAGCTGACATCAATGACATACTACTATATAGAAAGCCGCTTGTTATGCTGAGCATTTCGGGTAAATTAGGTCAGTTTTGTCCCAGGATGCGACCCACACTAGTCAACTGACACCCTGGTACCCATTTTACTAATGGGTGAACATGGACAGCACGTGCCTTATGGAAACACGTCCCAATGTTTTACAGCCGTACCGGAGGATCGATCCCCGGACATCAGTGTGTGAGCTGAGTGCGCTAGCTATCGAGCTACGGGATACAGGATACAGTGGAACTCGACACACTGTAAATAATATTACCTGGAGTTTACCTGGAGAGAGTTCCGGGGGTCAACGCCCCCGCGGCCCGGTCTGTGACCAGGCCTCCTGGTGGATCAGAGCCTGATCAACCAGGCTGTTACTGCTGGCTGCACGCAAACCAACGTACGAGCCACAGCCCGGCTGATCAGGAACCGACTTTAGGTGCTTGTCCAGTGCCAGCTTGAAGACTGTCAGGGGTCTGTTGGTAATCCCCCTTATGTATGCTGGGAGGCAGTTGAACAGTCTCGGGCCCCTGACACTTATTGTATGGTCTCTTAACATGCTAGTGACACCCCTGCTTTTCATTGGGGGGATGTTGCATCGTCTGCCAAGTCTTTTGCTTTCGTAGTGAGTGATTTTCGTGTGGCAAGTTCGGTACTAGTCCCTCTAGGATTTTCCAGGTGTATATAATCATGTATCTCTCCCGCCTTCGTTCTAGGGAATACAGGTTCAGGAACCTCAAGCGCTCCCAGTATTGATGGTGTTTTATCTCCGTTATGCGCGCCGTGAAGGTTCTCTGTACATTTTCTAGGTCAGCAATTTCACCTGCCTTGAAAGGTGCTGTTAGTGTGCAGCAATATCCAGCCTAGATAGAACAAGTGACCTGAAGAGTGTCATCAGGGCTTGGCATCCCTCGTTTTGAAGGTTCTCATTATCCATCCTGTCATTTTTCTAGCAGATGCGATTGATACAATGTTATGGTCCTTGAAGGTGAGATCCTCCGACATGATCACTCCCAGGTCTTTGACGTTGGAGTTTCGCTCTATTTTGTGGCCAGAATTTGTTTTGTACTCTGATGAAGATTTAATTTCCTCGTGTTTACCATATCTGTGTAATTGAAATTTCTCATCGTTGAACTTCATATTGTTTTCTGCAGCCCACTGAAAGATTTGGTTGATGTCCGCCTGGAGCCTTGCAGAGTCTGCAATGGAAGACACTGTCATGCAGATTCGGGTGTCATCTGTGGCTGACATCCTTGTCTATGTCAGATATGAGGATGAGGAACAAGATGGGAGTGAGTACTGTGCCTTGTGGAACAGAGCTTTTCACTGTGCCTGCCTCGGACTTTACTCTGTTGACTACTACTCTCTGTGTTCTGTTAGTGAGGAAATTATAGATCCATCGACCGACTTTTCCTGTTATTCCTTTAGCACGCATTTTGTGCGCTTTTTACGCCATGGTCACACTTGTCGAAGGCTTTTGCAAAGTCTGTATATATTACATCTGCATTCTTTTTGTCTTCTAGTGCATCTAGGACCTTGTCGTAGTGATCCAATAGTTGAGACAGACAGGAGCAACCTGTTCTAAACCCATGTTGCCCTGGGTTGTGTAACTGATGGGTTTCTAGATGGGTGGTGATCTTGCTTCTTAGGACTCTTTCAAAGATTTTTATGATATGGGATGTTAGTGCTATCGGTCTGTAGTTCTTTGCTGTTGCTTTACTGCCCCCTTTGTGGAGTGGGGCTATGTCTGTTGTTTTTAGTAACTGTGGGACGACCCCCGTGTCCATGCTCCCTCTCTATAGGATGGTAAAGGCTCGTGATAGGGGCTTCTTGCAGTTCTTGATGAACACGGAGTTCCATGAGTCTGGCCCTGGGGCAGAGTGCATGGGCATGTCATTTATCGCCTGTTCGAAGTCATTTGGCATCAGGATAACATCAGATAGGCTTGTGTTAACCAAATTCTGTGGCTCTCTCATAAAAAATTCATTTTGATCTTCGACTCTCAGTCTGGTTAGTGGCTTGCTAAAAACTGAGTCATATTGGGACTTGAGTAGCTCACTCATTTCCTTGCTGTCATCTGTGTAGGACCCATCTTGTTTAAGTAAGGGCCCAATACTGGACGTTGTTCTCGACTTTGATTTGGCATAGGAGAAGAAATACTTATTATTAAACCTAAATACTGAATGATCACGTTGTGGAAAATACTGTATATATTTTCCAGAAATTCAGTATTTATATGTAAATAGATGGCCATACTGTATTTAATAATATTTGTCATAGAAAACGGAAAGCCTGCGTCTGGGCAGGAGACTCGCCATCTTGGTTTTGAATTTTGTACAAACGTTGGTGTAATGGGAAGAATTTTTCGTCCTCTAGAGGTTAAAATTGTGTTGCCACCTCTCAAATAGGAGGTGAAATTGGTGGATGTGCATTCCTGCATAACTTGAGATATCAGACGACTGGACAAGACAACTCCAGGAACCTCAGATAAGCTCTCTAGATTTGTGTGTAATTCTGGCCAGCATTATTTTCTTAGATTTAGTTAGTGAGGTTTTCTGAGTATGATACACATTAATCTCCAGTCAAATTGGTGAGTGATATTAAGATATATTTTCCTTCTGTTATGTAATTGTATATATAATATATATATATATATATATATATATATATATTATATATATATATATATATATATATATATATATATATATATATAAACATTTATTATTTTTAATATACAGTCGACAAATTTATATATTTACCAGTATTCCTGGTGTATGTATATTTCATTTAATTAATAGGTCCAGAGCAATTTGTGGTTATGACAGTGGTAGGCATCGAAGGGGGACATTTCTTGCTACCTAGGTGTCCCAAATTCCTACTTGTCTATGTAACATTGATAAATAATAATTATCTTTGTTATCATTTACTGTTATGTACATAGTTACATTCAGATAAATGCAATTTTCCACACACGTCGACTCAGATCTAATTCTATATAATCTAACTCCCAATCAAAAAATTAATGGAAAGTAACTGCCTCTATTACACAGCATCACAAGTAAGTTTATTCAGGTATACACAAATATAGTTACATAGAATTATCATACATAGCAGTATATGTGTAGAGAACCTGGGATAACCCAAAAAAGTCAGAGTGACTTATTTCCATTGGGGTCCCTTTACCTTATTATTATTATAATATAAAGGTTATCTTATAATTATTCTATAATGAAGATAACATCTTATTATCATACTAAAAAGACTATCTACTACACGAGGGTCATTAAGACTATTTACAATACGAGGGTCATTACTAGGAATAAGGTAAAATTTACACGCATGTTAGCTAAAAAATAGAAAATCATTTCCCTCCCTTTCTGTAGCTACATTCATCAGACACCTTTTGGCACTCTTCTTGAACTGGTTCATGCTA